AAGGCTGTTTGTGGACCTGTGATTTTGGCTGGATGTTTTAAATCATGAATTCTTGGCCAGGCAAAGAATGTGTATACCCATTCAAATTAGCAGTGGTCAATTCCTCTTCAACTGCAGACCGCTAGTAGACCCACTGCACTACAACCCCAAGCAAAGACAAGGAGAAGCAACACATTTGAAATATAGAGACCTCTCATTTATTAACAGACAAGAGTACTATTTGGCCAAATACATCAATATTAAAATGGGTTTCAAAAGGGGAGTGGAGGCATCTTTCAAAGGACAGCACCACTAAAAGGGATGGTTTGGAGGGTTAGAAACAACACACGTCAACATTACAAAGCTTTCTGCACTTTACACAATCCCTTCAATTAGTACACTTACACTACTCTTCAGAACGTGAAAGTGGCCTATTTTTAATGCTGGACACATTGACCTAGGCACCTACATACTTGCTGATGCCAAAATGTAGAGGATGGATGTTAGGTGAAAGGGTACTTTTTGAAATACAGCAGCACAACACTTGACCAATAATTCAATGTCATCCACCTTCTTGGCCTACATGGCATTTATCAAGGGGTGCTTCCAGACTACGCTTTTCTTATGCAATCACCCTGCCTTATGCACAGAAGCTGACAAGGGAGAACTCCAGATAATATTTTCTTCAGTTTGTAACCCTCCTGTGTTTTAATACCACTTTTTTTTTGAAACACAAAAGAAATATTAAGGAGAAAATGTCAGAATAGCTGTATAGCGCCCTCTCTCTGGAAAGACCCCAGAATCTAGAACTGGGAGGACTTTATCTGGAAGCACCCCAGGATACTGGGGGAAAGGAAGATGAGAGATGGCTTTTCACTGACCCTAAATGAACAACAATAAATGGGGCATATTAAACAGAATCTGCAGCCACTGTTTTGACTGGATCTCTTTTCTTTGACACAAACAGTTGAAAATAAGAGATGTGGAGTTTGGTTGGAAGAAAGATTAATTTGAGGAGGTGAACACAACAGGGAATATCCTAAATGGAAGTCAGATGAGGATGAATGTGCAATTCTACCAACACTACAACTACGAAAACACACTAGCAACAAAACAAAATGGCCACCATGCCCCTTAGGTGGGCAACCAAACATGGCCTACTCTTGTTATTGGTCTATTTGTTTTCTTTTTGGTTTCATTTTTTAATCCCTCTCCACTGCAAAGTAGGAGATTGATTTCTGTATCTCCATAGGAAGCTATTAGTAAAAAAAAAAAAAAATCCACAGGTTACAAAACTGACATTGGATCAACAGTTCTGTTAGGAAGTAAAATTACTCCAGTTTGTATAAAGAAGGTGTTAATATGTTACTGATATGTGCTTTCTTTCATGGATAGTATGAACATGACCCATTAAAAATAGGGTCTCAGCTGATAACACTGTATGAGAACCTTCTTTTTGAGGTCCTCAGTGTTGCATGGGAGTATTGTCTTCTATTTTAGAGAGAAATCAGTTCCAGATTTTTCACTCGGCTCTTCATAGTCTCTCATCATTACATCTATTCAAGCTCAAAAGAGAAGCTAAAAACCCTTATTCTACTTATTAAAGACAACTGTCCACCAGAAACATTGGTGGGAGGTATGTTCCCATTTTAAATCCAAATTTCCTTAAACTTTGAAGGATCAAGTAGCAGGACTCTTCTATGTGGAATAGACCAAATATCTAGTCCAAAGCCATAACTGTTGATAGCAGAACCCACATATCTGACTGTGGTTGAATCTTTGAATTACCATGTGACACTTTTCCTCCTCTACATTGCAAATGCACAACTCTCACCTCTATAGAACCTGAGGAAAAATGTGAAAAATGACTTGGAGAGTTACAAGGGACTGATCTGGGAATCCCTGAATTCCCAGGGAATGGGGTGGATATTTTATAGATTGTGGACAAAAAGAGTGGGCAGGCAGACTTTCTGTTGTCCTTGCAAATTTCCAAGATTTTTAGTTATTTCTACACAAGTGGCATTACATGATCCTCTGGAACACCTGTTACTCATGAGTAAGTAATTTTGTGGCCTATGACCTCTATAAATGTGATACATCTCTAAATAGCAGCAGCTTTTAAAGGTGCCCCAGTGGCTTCTCCCAACCCAAAGCTGCTAAAATTTCCATCTTGTGAAATGGAAACTGTTACTCTGGTACAGAATGTGAGGCAAGATGGTGGAACAGATTACCTGATCCCTGTAGCCAAGGAAAAACAAGCTGGCAAAGTACCAGTTTGCTCCAGAGTACTAAAAAAACTGTTGTAATCCTATCCTCTGCTTACCTGGAAGTAAGCCCCACTGAACTCAATGGAAATTACTTCTGAACAGACATGCATAGGATCACACTGTAAGATCCTTTCCCCTCCGGTTCCCTTTTCTCTCAGTTATCCTTGTTTCAATAATGTTTTGAAAACATAATACTGCTTTGTCTCCCCAAGAGATCAACAGTTTGAGAAGCTTTAGTTCTGGTTAACACCAGGATGTTGGGGATCTTGCCTCAGTTTGAAAAAAAGAAAAAGAGCAATCCAGTACTATAGGACTCGGTAAATGTACTGAGAAATCAAGAATGTTCTATGCTTAATTGTTTTTGCTACCAATCAAAAGGTATCTTTATAGATGAACTTATCTTATACGTTTAATTGCCATCTTGGCCCAAATACAGATGCTGTTTTCCTTTGGAAACTGGATTTCATCAGCAAATCACAAGATTTAGAACTATTTCCAAAACCCTTAAGGCTAATTACTCTCTGAGTTCAATGCACAAAGTCCAATATTTATTAAATTCTTCAGTGAATCTCAGTGTTTCATTAAATAGAAAAACTTTGGTAAATGTATTGTAAATGAGAGCAGAAATGACACATTGTCAAATTTACAAAAATCAGGAAAAGTTCTTAGTATCTATATCAAAAATTCTAATCAGAATTCCACCAGCCCCTCAAATTTGAAATATGCCATACTCTTTAAGGTTGTCTTCCTTATGGTCTATCTTTGTCTTTGGTGGTCAAAACTCGAATTCTGGCATGAAAATTGTGTATTGCTCCCAACACACACTCACTGTGAGCACAAACGTAGGCATATACATGAAAAAGATGCCAGATGATTGTGCTCTGAATTCAAATTTCAGGTTTAACACTTGAGATTTCTACACAGACCTTTCAGTTCAGGATTACAAACCCAAATGGTTGATGTTTGAAATAAATTCTTCATTTAGTTTCAGCTCTACTGAAAATGGCTGGCACTCCTATAAAATCAATTCTAGTTGTAAGTTTACTTGCTAAACAGGTTACCCAGCATACAACTGGGTTCACACAAATTCCTAAAATTAAAGGATATTTGTTGTAAAGCCAGTTGATCTTGTAACGTTGCCATAGCAAATATGTTGCACACATGTATCAGCCTATGTAAAACCATTGTAAACCAGCTGTAAATCTTAAACTTCTAAATAAATGCTTTTTCATTTATAAAATGTGTCAGACTACTAGCTAATAGTAAACCTGTAGCAGTTGTATAATAACCATCTTAAGCTTGTAGTAAAAATGTAAACATATTTTAACATAGCAAAATTATTATATTGGGTAGAAGATCACTAGGAAAGATGTATTTAACCTGTCTACATAAAGCTTATAGCAAAATTTCTATAATACCCATATCACACATTTCATAAATATTTTGTAAAGCATTTACTGTAAAACTGATTGATGGTTATGCCAAAACTGTTATAAAACTCCACATTAAGTTGATATAAAGTAGGATAAACTATATACAAATAGCTTTATACACTGGCTGATGCTTAACACTCTACTAGGTTCTAAAATTAAAATCCAGAGAACTGTGGTAATTGAGGTGGGAATGAGAGAATGGTTCCTGTTTCAAACATATGCTAATTATCTCCAAAGTAATTCTGCAGAAGATGGCTAGTTTTTATATGACAGAAAACTAAATGATCATTTTGCCACTATTAGGCTAGACTACAACACATTTACTAGAGTTTTAGATATAAAGCCTGCATACAACAATCTTTTGTAATCTTATCCTGATTCAGTCCTGTTTTAGACAGTTTCAGGTGCTAAGGAGGCTGAAATTTAAAGTATTTCATAAGACAATGACCGAAAACTGTAAAGCTATTTTACAGCACAATCCTAGACATGTTTACTCAGAAGTAAACGCCCTTGAAGCTTATTTCCAGGTAAATGGGTAGAGACTGAAACCCTATAGCCATTATCAAGTTGTTGAAAACTTATTTTCAAACTAGGTTTGAAAGTATTTCTGCTGTTTTCACTAAAGATCTGGTTGCTGAAAGTTGTATTATAATACAGTCTCCAAAGTTGTATAGTCTACATAATCAGGGTACTGAGTTTGTTACAACTCTTTAGTGAACCCATTTGAAACAGACTTGTGTACGTTGTTCACAACAGATTTCCATATGAAGTTTAGTTTCAAACACTGAACAATAGTGTGGTATCCAAAATGTGTATGAAACAGCGCCTTTTCAAGAAACTAGAGATGAACCTATAGTATAATACAGGTTTAAAAAAGGATAAACCATAAGTTTATTTTAGGCCTGTTTCCCAAATGTGGCATGGCAATATAGTATCCACTAATTTAAAGACTGTTTTTGTTTAAAAGTCAGCCTGTCTGCCCATAAGGGTGCAACCTAAATATATAAACCTTTACTAGTTGTATTGTAAGCCTCATAGTAAACCTATAGTAAATCTCTCACTTATTTCCAGCTGTTGGGTAAGCTTCCTTCCTTTTTCACACAGTGGATAAAAAAGAGGATTTTTTTTTCTCTTGGAGATGTGTTTTTGTTTTGTTTTGTTTTTGCAACAGGAAATGGCTCTGAGAGAAGAGACAGGCCCGCAGGCGATCTCCACCCACCACACACACGCTATTTGAAGGGGCGCCTCACCCACACACTCCCATTTGCTCTGGACGGGAGGCGAAACTGTTGCCGGATAATTCGGCCAACAGGAAATCCCATCAAGAGGTCTTTATGCCCACAGCTGCATCTACTTCTTCTTCAGGTTGCAGAGTATGCCACTGGGCGATGGGTCTCCGGGGGTTGGCCAGCATGTCAGACCAGTGGCGGAGCTCCGAGCCGGTGGCATTGCACCCCACAAAGATCTTCCCAATGGCTTCATTTTTGCCCAGTTTGTCATAATCCAGGACCGTCAGCACAACCTGGACTTTCTGGAAAAGAAGAAGAGGCATGGTCATTGGCAGCAGAAAAGTGATAGGCGGGACATGTGCCTTTAAACTACCTCCAACCCCACACGTCCCTGCTACAGCCTTTCCCTTCTATTCCTCTCTCTCTCCAGCTTGAATTCCAAATGTATGTTTGCTCTTTGCTTTTGGGGAGCAGATGACAGGTGGGGGAAGGAAGAAATATAGGCTTTCTCTCGCATCACTTCTCTGCTGGATTCTGCATCCTCTCCCCCTTTGCTCAGCGGTGACTTGCATTCCCAGGTCCACATGTGCCACCAAATGATTCTTATTATCAGAAAGAAGCCGGGCAAAGTTTAAGAACCTAAGTGGCGGGACACACTTGGCTTCAATGAAACTTGATCCTCCTCATCCCTCAAGTCGTGGAGCCTTTCAAAGGGTTGCAATTATGGGAGACCTTGATTATCTAGGAAAGACTGGCTCACAATCCAGAACTAGCAAAGACTATGGGGAGGCCAAAGGACAAGCAAAGCTTCGTTGCTTATTGGAGCTTCAACAGGTTCTCTCCTCAAATCCCCTTGTTATCTCTGATCTGTGACTGGAGAGAACAAGGCCTGGTGTTCCATTTGCCCTCCCTGCCTCCTCATAAACCTTGAGCAACCTCCAGCCCAGGGCTTGGCAGGGGAAATGGGACCCTACACTTCTGTGCACCAGACCAGGACTGTGGAGTTGCTCCCTTGTCGTGGGAGTTTATTAGGGATGGAATGAATCTCCTCTTTGGGAGGGAAAATATTTGCAGATAAGTGTTTGGGACACGGTAAGAGTTTTTCAAAATGTAATCTGTGAAAAGGAGGGAGGATTTGTCATTTTATACTGTTCTCCTCTCCTCCCTAGCAGCACCCTCCATGTCCCATCTTATTGCAATTAGATTAGAAGAAAACAAACCCTTTTAGCAGCAATGGAAGCTTTTAAAATGTGTCGGGGCATAATCCTGTGCCTGTTGAGATGGAAAAAAGTTTTCCAATTCCCAGCATTCCCTTGCCATGCACCTTTACGGATGTGTGAGTGCAGGAAAACTCCAAGCATGAAATAAGACACTGCTTTTACTGTTGATTCTGGGTAGATTGCTCAACTTTAGCTCAGCACCAGATTTCATAGCAAACTAGTGTGCCCTTTGAATCTTAAATACAAATGGAAAAACAGCTCAATACATGGGGAACCGCAAACCCATCTACCTAATATGTACAAGTTTGATTCAAGCTGATATAGAAAGCAACATGCAGAAGAATCATAGAATAGTAGAGTTGGAAGGGGCCATGAAGGCCATTGAGTCCAACCCCCTGCTGTTGCAGGAGACCACATCCCACTCAGAGGAACAGCTGAGTAATTTCCTTTGCAAAATCTGTGTTTACAGCAAAGTGTTCTGAATGAGCAATGCCTTGTTTGGGCAGAGTAGAAATATTTGTGGAAATAATAAGGGCTGAGCGTCACACCTCTGACTCAAAATTGGCTACTATGGAGTAAAACAGGAGGGCAGAACAGCCTACCTGGATTTGTTCGAAAGGCACCTCAAAACTGAAGGACTCATTGTAGTAGGGATTCAGTGTATTTTTCTTGATAGTTGTTTTCTTCTTTTTGATACGTTTCCCTCCCTGCATGAGGTGGATTTTAACATATGGATCTGGAATAGGAGGTAGAACACGGAGACAGAGAGAAAAAGAGAGAGACTGAGAGAGAAAGGAGAATCATAGGGATTCCATTATACCACAGAATGTGTTATGGTTGTTCCACATTCCCAACTTCCCGCCTCTTCCCTTTGCCCTATTCCAGTGTCTCATCTTTCCTACTTCCTTATCCTGTTTTATTCCATCACTCCTACGTACACACACACACCTCAGGGAATGCATATTTTAATGTTCCCATCCCTTTCTCCCTTTCATGGCAGCTGTATATTACCTGATCCTTTCTTTCTGTGTTATTCACAAGCAAGTGGTCCAAATCAGGACCACTGTGTACAAGTAGGGCAGGTTTAAACCTCCCCACTTCATTTGTTTTCTGAATCGCCCTGTCTACTTGCAGGGACCCAAACAAACACACAAACCTCCCACAAAAGCCTGCCCCAACCTGAGCCCATATGCTTACCCAAGAATTAAAAAAGAGAGAAGTCAGCTGCATGCTACAAGCTTTTCTACAGGAGGCATTTACTGTACAGTCAATTGCTGTATTTACTTTTGCTTTCATGGTAGCATCCAGCTCCAACCTCTACACAAAGAATGCTTCCTTTCCTGTAGTTCTGCTATACAACCTCTAGGTGGAGCTGTGCTATAGCAGACTAACACAAATACACCAAGAGAAAGAATATTGTTTTCCCTGTTGTAATTTAATAGCTTATTTTCCCTATTCTAAGAAAACATGCGAAAACTTTCTGAAAAGGCAGAAGTGAAACTGGATGATCACATCAGCTATACACCCCACAAACAACCTTGATTAAGGAATCACAAGCACACTATACATGCCTTATGTAAAAAGTTCCACATATCTAATGCATCTTAATCTGTACTTTACCATGACACTGAATTTGTACCTGAAAGGCCTCCCACATCCATCTTTTTCAGGTTTTTGGCTTCTAGTACAATAACAGTCAACTTTCCTGCCGTAGGAACATAACGGAGTGAAAAGCAGATGTCTCCCAGCTTTTCATGCTGCAGGAAGAAAAGCAGGGCTAATTCAGAGTTGGGATAGATGTTTCGAGTGGTGCTCCACACTTTCAGAAAAAAAGAAAGCACATGTGCTAAAGGAGGGGTGCAGAAACCCGGGTCTGAGGCCAACTACATCCCATCTAGGGGCCCAGTCTAGCATTCTAGGGTTTCCCAGAAGACCATGCTTCCTCCTCCTGGTCCTACTCCGTTTTACTCAGATCTCAAATTCTTGGTGATTTCCTGGCTTTTGTGCCCTTTCCCCTACATTCTTAAAGGCTGGAATGCTTCTCCCAAGGGTTAGTTACTGGCAGTAGGGGCTTTAAGGTAAAATATGCCGACATTTTTTGTCTTCACCCCATTTACCCTCTGCCACACCCACCAGGGGAATGCGGCCCCACAAGAGCTTTTCTGAAATAGCCCTTGGAATGAAAGGTTGCAACATCCCTGCTGCGGTGTCCTCCTGTACACACAATTCACACAGAATTGCCACTCCGCACCTCTGAGAAATACTGTTTCAGTGGTCAGGACTCATGCAACAGTCTCCCACTCTTGCGGTTAGGTCACTGAGAAGCTGTTCCCCTACATGGCTGTGGTCCTATTTCAAGGGTTCCCTATGTGAAGTTCAAATTGGATTATTCCTGTGGCCCAGCCAGTTTGGTCCCTACCTCTTCCTTCTCGGCCGACTGCAGGTCTCGCCACTCCTCGATCACATGGGCCAGGTCCACAGTGTTCATTGGGATACGGATTTCTCCAATGGCATCGTGCTTTGAGAAGCGGTCAAAGTCGTAGACGGCCATGACGAGGCTCTTGCCTCCCAGTTCTGAGTAGGGAACCTAAGTGTCCAACACAATAGGGATGGTTGTCAACATGATTGACAGGAGGGGAAAAGGAGCAGCAGACGCTGTCTTATCCTGAGTCATGCCCTTGGTCCATCCATCCAGCACAGTCAGCACTGACTGGCAGCAGTTTTCCTGGATTTCTGGCCATTTTTCCAGCCCTACCTGGAGAAGGCAGACATTGGATCTGGGACGTTCTGCATGCAGCACTCGTGCTCTTCCTAGGCGTGTGAGATGCAGATCCATAAAGGATGGAGAGAGACTGAAGCTACACAGGAAGATGCTTGGGTGGATGAGGAAGAAATGTGTGGTCAAGGCCTTCCCTCAAGGCATTTTACTGCCTGGGGTAAAGCGCAAAATGGAGCCCCCTCACTTCTATTGGTAAACCGTTCTGAGAACCAATGTGGCTAGTCAAATGGGTTATAAAAACCTTAAATAAATAAATAAAATCAATAAATTCTGCATGGGACTGAGCATTGGCTTTTTACGTCAACACAATTGACAGGATGGTGTAGGTGTGTTTAGGAGGTGCAAGAGAAGCCATGGGGCACACTCTGCTGTCCTGCTACAAGAGGGAATCGCTGGGGGGCTCAGAAGGGATAGCCAGGGGGCTGTGCCCTCCAGCTTCTGCAGCCAGGGGCAGGTGCCTTCCTCTCCCTAACGGCAGGGCTGGCCCAGCGTGTGAGACATTTCTGGACCACTGGCTGAGGTGAAAGGGGAGGAACTTACTTTGAAGGTGAATGATTCGTTGAATGTGGGGTTGAGGGTCTTGCGATGGACTTTGGTCTCATATTTCTTCTTCTTCTCGGGAAGCAGGAAGACTTTGACGTACGGGTCGGAGGTGCCCCCAATATCCAGCGCTGGGAGGTCAGCAGCTTGTATGATGCCCACCACCAGCTGGGAAATTGGTTTAAGAAGAAAATATTCAGAACATAGGAAACTGCCGTGTGCTAAATCAGACTTTCAGCTCATCCAGTCCAGGAAGTCTTGTTCTTTCTACTTCAGAGTAGCAGCAGCTTTCCAACCTTTCAGACGAGGCAATTACACTGCAATCACCCTACCTCATCATGGAATTTTATACTGGGAGCAGTGGAGGTGGCACTGGGACGCTGTTGTTTTCCACTTGTAGTCCTCCCATGTTTTCCTACAGCTTCTTTCATTAATCTTTCTTACCAGTGAAATCCCTCACAGGACAAAAAAATGGAACAGTGGCACCATGAGTTTTGACTGGTAGTACATGGGCCCTCCAATGCTCTCAAGTAGAGGGGTTGGGAAAGCTGAATGGATGAAGTGAGATGGGACAAACATCCAGCATCCCTACCTGCATGCTCTGGAAGTCATAGTCCAGTGAGTACCGGAGTTTCCCCAGCTTCTCATGGGGCTTCTCCTCTTTGGCCTCCTGCAACAGCGATGGGTCTAAATCTTCTACCTCAGGCTGCACCTGAAAGGAAGGAAGGAAGGAAGGAAGGAAGGAAGGAAGGAAGGAAGGAAGGAAGGAGGGCCATAGTAGCCAGTGGGGAAACCATTAAGATCAAAGACAGAAAAGTGATGTATGCAGCACAGTATAATCTGCTCCCTGTTTCACCTTCTTCACACATGCATGGGTCGATCAGGTTTTGAAAATACAGGTTGATCAGGTATTATGAAGGGACAGAACCTGTAGCTATGTCTGTGTCATTTGCCATCCCAAAATCCGAAAACTCCCAAACTGCCCTTTTCTGCTCTTCTCCTGCATGTGCAGAAGACCCAATTAGACAGGGCCGGATCAGCCACAAAGCAGGGCAAAGCATCCGCATCGGGCAACAGAGCGACAGGACTTGTGCCACGTCCCTGCCCTCCCCACCTGCCCAGGGAGGCCTGCTGTGGCCACCGCGCTCCGCTCCAGTCTTGGCATTGGCCACAGCGAGAGAGAAGCTGGCCAGGCTCCCTGGAGCACTTGCCCACACTCTGCTCCCTCATCGTTTACAGCTGGAGGAGGCGGCAGCAGCCATCAGAGTTCTCCCAAGACCTGTGTGAATGCCCACAAGGCCAGCGCAAGGGCTCGGGAGACCTGTGCAAACCCGCAGACAGCTCACCTCATGCTGCAGGCAGGAACAGACCTTGCGGACAAAGCTGGGCCTCGGAGGAGGATGCGCTTATGGTGTTTAGAACCGGTGGTGTACGGCAAATTTTGGCACGCCTGTGTTCGGCATGGCCCCCAAAACACAGCCCACAAAGGCCGGCAGCTGAGTTGCTCCGTGTCAACAAACCAGCTCTGCCAGTTTTATCTCAACCAGAAAGAGGCCTTTTGGAAGGCTCATGGGTTTTAACTGCCACTCAAGATCATCTCCTCCCTCTGCACCACTAAAGGTGTTGTATTCAAACAGAGACCCACCTATTTTTGCTGGGAAAAGTACTCTTTCCTCAGCCACTAGGAGAAGTGCAGCTGCACTGAGAGGGAACAGGGGATTCCGCATGAGGTGGGGAGGGTGGCAGCAGGGGAGGTCAGCGGCATGGGGCTTCCAAACGCGCTGGGGCAGCATCCCTGTGAGCCCTGGCCCCACTACGCCACTGGGGAAAGGCCAGGACGGCAGTGTCACCCCAGCACCGTGTGTACATCCTGGTCTTCCACAGGTCGCATCCAGTGGCCAGTGGAGTGGGAAATGCAGCTCCTTGCAGCTCCTTTGATCCTTTGAGAAGGCTGTCCATGATGACTAATCAGGATGGCTGTGTGTGGCACATGGGCAGGAGGGTGCCATTGCACTGCTATCCCACTTGCACCCGGTTGGCCATACTGGGAACACGATGTTGAACTAGGAAGGCTTTCAGTCGGATCCAGCAGGGCTCTTATTTTCTTGGGATCTCATGACAATAACTTTGACTTTCAAGGAGTTGCTGAGAGCTTCTCTGATTCTGATAGAACACGGACATCAGTTGTTCATCGGAAAGGACGGGATATAAATGTTTTAAATTTAATTAAATAAAATCAGGGGGAAACAGAATTGACTTTTTTCTCCCTGCCTTTTTCTTGGTATAATTCATACACCCAAACTGTTGCAAGACTTCTTTGGTGGGGCAGGGGCCCTAAAATGTTTTTGAAGTAGTGGTGAGGACTCCAGGGTGTCCAATATCAAGAATAAAACCTCTCCCAGCTGAAAAGACACCGTAGAAAAGACTGTAGAAAGGTGGATGCAGCAGGGAATTCGCCATTCAGTGCTTGGCCTCTGCAGCAGGACCAACCAGCCCAAGACACTTTGTTGGCTGAGGTGGAGAACAAGGCAGTGCCCCTTCCGACTCCGGCAGATGGATCTTTCTTCAGCACTGGCAGCGACAGCATCTTTTGCTGCAACTGGAGGCAGCAAACTAGCTTAGGGGGCACGGGGCCCACAGCTCTCTTCCCTCCAAGCTTCAGCACTGCTGCCATTTCCTGCACTTGCTACCTGAGGCGGCAGCTTCTCCCTGCTCAATACGAGGGCTGGAGCTACGTTTCAGTCCCGTTTTCAGTGTGCCCACACAGTAGCACTTGGCTTGGCTCCTCTTCTTTCTTGTTTTCTTATCATCCAGGGATGGGGCTCACCAAGTTCAGCAGGGTCCCTAGCCCCCTCTGTCCTCCTCTCTAGAGAGGCCCCTGTCTGTATTTTTTCTGCATTGCAGATAATCAGGATCGCAGTTCTAGTCTGACACCAAATCAAGACTGCCCTGTATCCTGGGGCATTTAAGAGTTCTGCATGGCAGGTAGCAAGAGTACATCAGCTGATGAACAGGTGCAGGAGTGTGAACCTGCCTCAGTAGGATCAGTTATTTATTTATTTATTTATTTATTTATTATATTAATATATTATTAAAACATTTCTATGCCGCCCCTTGCCATAGCCTCGGGGCGGCTCACAACATAATAAAATACACATAAAATAATTTATCTGAAATTAGGTTTTAAATCTCTAGTACATTGCACAATGCTTTATAGTCATTTATGATTTTATATTTTCTTTTAATGAATTGTTCCATCCTGCCCAGGGAGCTCCAGCTATTGCGCAGGATAGAAATAAATAGGTGAATACATAACATTGATTGGTCATTCTTCAGTCTTTTGTTGATTGAGGATATTTGCTTGTTGTTTAGGATTCGGTTCTATTTGAAAGTGGTGGTGAATCTTCCCATTGAAGAACAGGCCCTTCCAGATACTGGAGACATGCGTGTGGATACCAAACAGAGAGGCGATATGTGGACATCCATTGCTGGATAAGGAATCTTTCATTCCCTGTTCTCATTTTCTTGGGCTGGTTCTCTTATGGGTTCCAAAGCCTTCATCTATCATTTGATGCTATGTTTTATGAATTATCATACATGGTCCAGATAGACTTGGATTCTGGGCACTATAGAAAATGGGGGCGGGGGATCCTCCATCCATGGGGTGGGTGGATTTAAGAAAAGAAGAGCAGTATGGGAAAAGTACCTCCTTCTGCACAGCACCAGTGACCTCTGATCAGAAGTCAGAGGTGAGGCTGGGTAAAGGGATGGGTCCCACTTCTCTTCAGCACTTGCCCCAGTCAAGCCGCTCTTTCACTATTTCCTTTCTTCTTCTGAGCAGATCAAGACACCAGGCTCCCAACTACAGTTTTTATTGTGTTAAAGCGGGCCAGCCAGGCTGCCTTTGTCATACAAAAGGAATATTGCAGAGACTGTTAGCAAAATACATCAATCACAGTCAAGTGAGGATGCCAGCTAATTAGGGAAATTACTGCTCATGCCAAGAAATTAATGCCAAATTATATCCCCTTCTTCATTTCCCAGCCAAACAGTATTAGCTCCACCCTCAGGGAGGATCCTGCTGCTTGTGGGCTAGACAGTGTGGGAATGCCAGATGCTACTCAGTTGGTCTGCTTGTTTCAGCTGATGTTGTATGATAGGACTGATCATGCTACATCTGGAGCCTCATATTGCCACCCACACTGCTTCTGTAGCGGAGTCTGCCCATTTTAGATTGTCTGGTCTGGTGGACGCTATGCTCTCTTTCATATGCAGAGCAGTATCTTCTCCAGGATGTCCTTGCCTGACCTCCCTATAACGTTAATGTCCAGATATGGCCATATCCCATTGGTTCTTTCCATTCCATGAGTTTCCACAATGCCTACTGCTTTTAGGTTCTCCCTTAAAATCTGGCATTTCAGTGCTTGCATCGTGCCTTGGAGACTTCTAACATGTGCACAGAAGCTTCTGTACATGGAGCCCCTCCTCAGATATCTCTGTGTGCGCATCTTATTTTATGGCCCTTAGGCCTGTTGGATGGGCTGTCACATCCACATAACCCATGCTCTGCTCTAACTGGAAGCAGTTCTCTGGAGTCCCAAACAGAAGTCCACCACATCACCCACCAGATGATCCTTCTGGCTTGAAATGTGGGGTCTAGAGCATATGTACTGCTCCTTTCCTATCTATCACCCTCCCCTTCCCGGCTCACAGCTGGGGAGGAGCTCCTGTGCCAGTCACCGTGGTCCTGGAGTGTGGTGTGTGGCCAAGCAGGGGATGGGGAAGGCATGGAGTCATGGAATGCACAAGACCTGGCCAGCCACAGAGACCATCAAAACATGTGGGCCAAAGGCAAGCCGAGGCATGGGCTGTGCCTTCAGCAACAGCCCTGCATTCATGCGGTTCTGGGACCCTTCCCGGAAGGGCATCTCCCTGCACAGTGCCACCTGGGGAAGCTGCCCGCCACTCACCTTATCGATGTAGCTCTTGCCTAGTTCCTTCACCTCCTTCATGTTGATCTGTGCGCTCATTTTGTCTTTGCCTTTCTTCCCTTTCTTCTTCCTGCCGCAGCATTTTTTGCAGGCGCAGAAGCAGCAGCAAAGAAGCAGGAGGCCAGCCACGATGAGAACGGTGGCCAGTGCCCAGGGCGGTACTGGAGTGGAGCAGAACAGAGACCGGGGCTGATTCTGGGCAGGGCAACACCCGCTGCCACACCGTCTCATGTTTATGTAATACTTTCCCCCTAACTCCTTCAGATCACAGTGGCTCAGCAGTCTTAACAACAACCCTTGGAGTAGATCTGTGTTATCGTCATCTCCTTATTGCCGAGGGGGAGCTGAAGATGACATGGCGGCTCACGTAAGGGACCCACAAACTGTTGTCTGAGTAGAGATTTAAACAAGGGATCTGCAGATACCTCCAAAGTGTAGGCAGAAATCCTTAAGATTTAAATATAGGATTTTTTACAGTATGATGACATACAGATGTAGATTATTGTAAGGCCTGGGAGATAGCAATTGGGTTCAGACAACCCAATAACCCATACGCAGGGGTTTCATAAGGTTTGAGTGTGGGCTGTTTCTGAACCATGGGTTATTATGTTGTCTCAAGAACTCAGTCAAGATAACAAACCATGGTGAACAACCCACAGTTCACAACCTGGCAACAAACCATTCTCTCTCCTCAATAACCCATGACTTGTTAGCACAGCTGGGTTTGGACAACATGAGCACTGATGTTTCAGCAACGGTGGATGCATCAGCGACAACCCATGCTCAGCCCGAGGATGGATTTTCATGCTGTCTGAATGCAGTCGTTAGGTCAAAGTCTTCCCGGTGTGCGAGAGGAGGGGGGCACGGTTCCTTGCCTGCAGATGGGGTGATGCCGGGCACTAGGTAAGGGGGAACTGCCTGCATAACTTCCTTTACCGTTTGTATTTTATCAAGAGCATAAAATCTTTCTTTCCCGTGTCTACATCAGCTTGCTTTTTAGGAAAAGCGCACGTTTTCATCAAGACAAGTATCTGCATATGCTTTTTGTATGCCATCCCTTCAATATACAAATGCTTTTCAGGCGCATTCCCCTAGTACAGGAATAGGCTGCCTTGGACTCAGGTGCTAAATCCATTTTTCCTCGGGATCCCTTTCTGGCTTTTCAGCATTCCTAAGAAGACTTTGCCTTCCACTGGTTCCCCATCCCACACCCCAGTAGTTTCTTAGCTTTTGTGCAGTTTTTTCCCTGTTTTAAAAAGTTGGAATTCATTTCTCTAAGTATGAATGACTAGCAGTCAGAGCTTTAGGCTTAAAGGGCCTGGCAAAGTTGAGTTCTCATCCTCCCTTCTTTTGCCTTTGACCTCGCCTGTCTTTCCACTGGCCCATGAACCAAAGAGCTTCCCCAAAACCAAACTTGCTTCTTGGCCCCTTCTGTGTACCTTGATGCCTGCTCTTTCCCCCCATGTATGATTTTATATACATACCCATAGTTTGATCAGGTAATTGTGTCACAGAATTTGGAGAAACTGGCTATGCTCATTCTGATTTTTTTCTTGTTTATTTGTTGTGATACTTTAATTGTATCTTTTTATTCAATGTTAATATTGGTATTTTTATCCTAACGGCCACCCAGAGATCATGATGCTAATGGGCAGCTTTCAAATAAATCCAATAAATAAAATAGATAATCATGACATACCAATTGGACTTTACCTGTGAGGGGAAGGTGTCCTTCAGTTACTACATAGCATAAACACATTTGGCTTCTGTTGACACTATGCTTGGTGCACCAGCTAAAATTAACTTCCAGCCTTGCCAGTTGTCATATTTTTCTTAGCTTTTGCTCTCTGCTTTACAAGGGAACCCTGTGTTCCTGTGAACTCTAGAGGCAGATCCAAGTAACTGCTGACTTTTAGCTTTTCAAAGGCAGTGGGTGGTACCCACTGCTTTCTTTGCTACACTCTGAGATTTTGTTTTGCACTAAGGTCTGTCCCCCTTAACCCAAATCTGTGAGGATGCTGTGCAGTCCATTCCATCTTAAAACTGCTGGGCTTCTCTCTAGTAACTTCCTTTCTACCTCCCACTCTCCAGTTTTGTATTTATACTTTTGTTTAATGCTAGTTCGAAGATGTTTTCCAGTGAACTTGAAAATAGGCTGTTTCCTTTGCGATATTTTGCCTGATCCTAAGTATACTGCTCTCACTTTTGGTCCTTTTTGTAGCACTGTCCTCTTGCCCACACCTAAATTGCACTGAGTTCAGTGGGCCCTCGCCACTGGTAAAAGCAACCAAGATTGCAGGGCAACACTCTCCTAAGATCCCATCACTGTCCTTTTGCTTCTGTTTTACTGTGTCCCTAAATTCTCCTAAGAGCCCTCAAAGCCCTCCATTCTCAGGAAGCGATAGACAAAAGCCTTTACATCCCCTTTCACTTCTGTGTCTCTGGTCCATATGAGAGTGAAACCATGTTCCATCTCCAATTTCCACCGTTGTCTCTAAACACCAGCTTCTTTCTCCAGAGCCACATCATTCCACTGCAGTCTGCCTGACAAATTCCTCTGTGAAGTGTAAATCCCAGAGTCCACTGATTAGTCTAAGGTCATCTGGCCTGTTGCATTGACATCCAAGAGGGAAATGGGGAATGGAGGGCTGATCAGGGCTAGTGTAATCTCCATCAAAGCTGCTGCAATATAACTGGAATTCTGCCACACCAAAAAGCCAAATGCTGCAACTTACATTGTTTTTACAGTGTGATAGTATTTGAGTCCTCAAGCTCTCCCTTCTGAAACACTGACTCAACCACATTCATTATTTTGGAGATTTGATCTACAGATTTTATGAGCAGAGCTTCATGAGGTCTAGAAACTGGCTTTTCCTTATTTTTTTTAAATCAGAAGGCGAGATGGTCTATCAATAGCACATTCTGCAGTTTGGTTGTGCTGGGCTTGTGTGGAATTACAGAATGTAGCCTGCTGTGGTCATCATGTTAAAATTTAAACCAAATTCTAATTCAGTGCCAAGAAATGCTACCTCTTTTGTCTCAACAAAACTAGGCATCATTTGTATAATGCCTGACACCCTTTTAACCCATTTAAATTGGACCCACGCTCCAATCCGAAAGCTGCGATCCGAAACAGCCTGGAGCCCAACTCTACTTACTTGGCAGCTTTCCCAGTTTGTTCATGAATTTGTCCTTCGTGTCAGAAAGAACATTCTCCTTGGAGGGCATCTCAGTGGCATTGACGGACGGCTCCATCTGGGACTCTGTCACCTCTGAATCCACCCTGGCTGACCTCCGTGCTGCATTCATTGTGGAACCTGGAAATGGAGGGAAAGGGCTAACTGATCAGCTCCTTTGATTCTGCTGCAGTTTCAGACAAAGCTTTAAAGCACTGGTTCTTTAAACAAATAAACCAAGCATAACACCTTGATTCTGATAACTAGGATGAGGAGGGGCTGTTTGCAACTACCCAAAGGACAAGCAATCCCACAGATCATGATTTGTTGAAACCTAAGTTCAGGATTGTCAATAAGGAGCAAAACTGACCCATGGAACTATCTCAGGGGTGCTGAACCTCTCTTGGTCTGAATGCTGCTTTTCATTTTGGAGCTGTGCTTGGGGACTGCATGCCAGTGTGGGCGAGGGGCTGAAGAAATCTGCCAATCTGTAGTTTCCCAGGCTTCCATTCATAAATGCACTTCACCTTGAACTCAGAGTTTCTCCAGTCTGCTTCATCCTGAAGTTCGAGATTTGTATGTGTGGGTGGGTAGGTAGGCAAGTTGAATAAGAATCCATAAAGATTCGTTCTCCTTTTTCAGTATGGCTTCCCCACCCCTCAACCCTGCCCAATGCACACATTAGTTCTGCAAGCAATTTTCCTAATGCATTGTCTGATTAGAGAACTCCATTGCAACGTCAATGCGAACTTTGGAGGATAATTAAATTTTGGTCCACATAGTACAGGCAAGGATGATGCACGGCTGTCTAGATATTTTGTCCTTGAATTCCCGGCACCATTGTCTAGGGTGGCTGGTGCTGATGGGAACCATAGGCCTAACATCAGAAGGACTGCAAGCCACCCACTCTTGATGTGGTGGCTCATATGCAGGAAGTACGTTTCTCCTCTTTTTCTAGTTGCTATTCTTAGACTCCCTCACTTAGGTAGTCTTTTCCTCCCACAGCATCCACCTTTTCATGCCCACTGCTTTTGGATTATCCCTGCAATCCTCATGCATAACTAACAAGCCTAAGGCCATAAAAGTGCTGGATCTTCCTGACTATTTTCTAATAATATATATCATGCATCGTAAAGTTTTTAATCACTATAAACTGTTCAGAAAGTGTCAGCTGTTGGGCGGCATAGAAATGTAACAAATGAAACAAAGCAAAATAGAATTACTTTCCCCAGTTTCCAAGGCAGATATCGGGAATTTCTTTCTGCTCAGGGTGCTGAATTTAATCTTGGAAAAGCTCTGGAAGGGGGAAATTTCAGTGGTGAGGAGAGCAAAAGCACAGGGAGTAAGGATATTTACACAGTATATTTTAGCTGTGGCTCCTACTGCCCATGCCTAACTCTTGTGAGAGGCATTTCCAGCTTGTAGAAAGGGGGAAAAACTGCAGAAAAGCTGGGAGCCCACCAAACATTAAGTCGTTAAGGGAAGGGGGCTCAAGAAATGTGCCACAGCCCTCTGGAGAAATGCAGAGGGCCTTGTGTTCCTTACCCTTGTTCTGAAGTGCAGCTGGTGTACATCATGAGGTAGGGCCCTGTTTGAGACGCATAGAAGCTGCGGTGGAACTACTGGGCTCTACTAGCTCCCCCTGAGTAACAATGACCAGTTGAGCTTCCTGAAAGTGGAGATTTCCTATTTAGGGGAGAGGACAATAGTCAATGAGTTCTTGGAGGGGACATCAGATGCAAGGTAGGTGATTTAGGAAAGCATGTGGTTCAGGCTGTCCGGGGATCGATGGAGAAATTAGATAGGAGCATAGGATGTTCAATACCGGTCCCGTCAAAATGGGGACCTTCCACAACTATCTTAAAAGTGTGCAAGGGTCACAAGGGGCTGTTGGGAGATCTGATCCCTGATTTCCCATGCCACATCTGTGTCAGCCATCGATACATCGAAATATATAAGTGTCAAACACACGCACAGAGCTAATTTGTTTTCGCCAAGCTGGACTCAGACTTCCTCTGCCTACTTGCCTACTTGCCCACTGGCTTGCTCAGTCCCTGCTTTGTTTCACTTCCTTATAGCCCACGTAGCCACTGATAACTGGATTTTAGTCTTATTTAGTCTGATTTTCACAAGCAGTGCATAAAAGGTAAGTCAGGTTCTGGGCAGCTCCGCTTCAGCCTGCACAGTTTCACATGTCGAATCCTCTTCCATTTGAAAGGCGGAGGAAGAGCAGTGGCAGGATACAAGGTGTTTGCCTATAGTGACATACTCATTTTGTAGACATGCATTTTTTTAAAATGGAGATAAATCCCCCTGCAGAAACTGAAGTGGCACAGTTGAATAACAGGTTTAGCTGCTCATCTGCTGTTTATGAGAGCGGGGCCTCTAACACAGCTGTGACTCCAGGCTGCCAGGCCTGACACACCCTAAATCAATGTTATGGCGCCACGGCGTCTCTTCATCTCCTCCGTGGAAGAAGGTTAAGCATCTGATCATATTCCAATAAAGCACAGATACGTCCTCTCCCCCCTCCCCCCCCCCATCTCTGATTTGGCAACATGACTTATGCATCCAAGCACTCTCCATCATTACTGAGTTTCTCCTGGTTGTCCATGACAAACTAAGGACTGTAACGAGCAAGGTTGGTCTCATTGAGGCAGATTCTCAGGAAAAAGGTGCTTTTTCTCAGGAAAAAGGTGCAGATGCCCCAGTCATCCCTCTTGGGCCCCACAACACAGTTAAGCCCAGGTTGCCTCAGCAGATCCATGCTAAATGCAGAAAAGACCAGGTGGGGAGACACGCACAGCCCCAGAAGATTCTTGCGTTATGGTTTTGTATCTTCTGGCCTATGTATCAAAGACTGGCCCCACCTCAGCTCCCTGGGTATGGTGGGGGGGGGGGCGACCTTGACTCTGGGATTAGGCAAGTGCAGGTAAGCGGCAGGTGGGGAGGCGGGAGTTGTTTCCTCTTCCTCCAGACATAAAGTGGGAGGGAGAGTTTTGCTGCTTTGCCTCAAGCAGCAAAATGTCTTCAGCCAGTCTTGAGAATCAGTACCTGTGAATTGTGCTTATGTTCAAGTTTAGGCCATGGGGTATTGGGAAGGTGGATTAGGATCTAATGGCAGGTCTCTAGGTGATTTAAAAAAGATGGTAAAGATTTCCAAATTTTAATTTCCTTAAGAGTGGCTTAACAAGATGACTTTTCCCCTGCCTCCAATTATATTGCCAAAATGAAGAAAGCTAGTGGCAATCTGTGTGTGTGATCAGGAAGGGACTTTGCATGGGAATAGTGAGCTCAACTTATTTCTGGTGCTCGGAACAAGCTCATGGCTCAGAATTCCATAATTCCAAGAGTATGGCTTTTGCTCCTGGCTCTCTAGTCAGTGGATCTTGAGTATCTAGTAGAGAGAGAGAGAGAGAGAGAGAGAGAGAGAGACAGATCCCAGTCACATGAAATCTGAGCTTCCCAACCCTGACTTAAGCTTTATTCTACCTGGATCTGAAATGAAATGATCCCAGGAGGAACTATGTCTCTGTCCAACCACCATCCCCAGTTCTGTACATATGGAAAACTGGATGTCAGGAAGAGCAGCTCTCGATCAGATGAAGCTGGCTTGTTTTCCATTGTACCAGAGGACGGGCTTAGAACCAACGCGCCCTTTCTTTCCTCCACAGGGCAGAGAGCCAGTGGCAGCGGAACAGTGCGCTCCGGGAGGCAGCAGTCTCTGCTTCACGGGAGGGATGTCTGCTGGTCTGCCCTCTGCAGGAATGCTGTAGCTGCCTCCTGCAGCGAACACGGAGTTCGACCAGATGACTTTGGCCTGGCCCGACCCCTCTCACTCCCTGGAGTGGGGAGAAACCATGTTACTGCTGTGCACCCCCCCCTTTCCACATTCTCCCTTGCCCCCCCCCCCCACCATGCCCTTACTGGTGCTGCTGCACCAGGGTTGTGACGAGATCCCAGCCAGGGCTTGTGGATTCTCATGACACCCAGCCAAGGACTCGTGAAACCCAGGCTTGCTTTATTTAATGTCACTTCTATAGTTCTACCTCACCCTTTTCCTGCAGGAACCTAGGTGACCTACATAATCCTCTCCATTTTATCTTCACAACAACCCTGTGAGGGGTTCTGCAGAGTCACCCCGTGGGGACCAGAACCTGGGCATCCAGCATTCTCAGCACTGCACTGCACTGGCTTTCCATCCCCGGCTCATGAGATTTCATGGGGCATGACTGAGTTTCTGTAAGCCCCAGCTGAGCTCCTCTCGTAGGCTCTCAGGCAGCGCAGCTGACACCTTGCAAAAGCCACATAGCAAGAGAGAGACGGCCAGTGCTTCAGGCACCCCTCCTGGCTGTACTCTCCCTGCTCGGGGTGGTGGCACTTCCTCCTGGTAGGGGCCATGGCGGTGCGGGGAGATTCTCCACCCCTCCAGCACTCACCTTGTGCCATGGCCTTGGATGACCTATGGGTCCTCTTCCATTGTTATTATTCAATTGTTCCAGGCTTTCCCTAATGTAATAATTTCTACGGGGTATTTGGTGGTGGGGAGCCTTTCAGCTGGTGAACCTCAGGAGTATTGAGATGAGCAAAAACGACGTGCAAAGCTCTATTTAACTGTGAAATATGAACCACAAGGATGACCTATTGTGCCCCTTTATCAGAGCAAAGAGGAATCAGAGCAAGGGGACGCAACAACAGTGTTTTTACAAATACATCTGGTGGATTAAAACAGTGGTGGGGAGGAAATCAGGTAAAAATGAGCACACGGATCGAACAGCAAATCATATAAAGCATTCCTTGAGTCGCTGGTCTTCTGGACACGTTGGCCAAGATTTCCCTGCAGAATTATCATTTTATGTGAAATTTACATGTGGAATGAGGAGGGAACAGGGGGAGACCCTCTTCATCCTATAGTACGATGATTCTTCATGCTTCATGTGAAGACTGAAGTTAACATTGAAGGAGGTATAAGAAATTAATTTTGGTTCATTTTGGACCAGAATTTACCTAAAATCAAAGCTGGTCTGTACATTTCCATGTAATAGTCCGATCTGTGCATTTCTGCGCTTCAGCGTGCTTTGTGGAAAAACAACTAAAGAAATGTACACATTTCAAAAATATCCATGAAAGCATCTATTTTTGAAAAAAAAGTGTACTATATGCTTTGAGCAGTGGGAGAAAAATGCACACATTTGCATGTATGGGAAGCTGTGTGGGAAATATCCCTGCAAAAGAGGAAGAGAAAACAGCTCGCCGTCGCGACAGACACGGGTTGGACCTAAGGGAGCTTGAGTTGTGCAGATTTCCAGTGCATGGCTCCCTGCCGCAGAGTGGGCTCTCCTTTCCCGAGTGCAGCCACCCCCCATCTCGCGCGCGCGCACACACACACGCGCGCGGGCACGACACGCGCGGACGCGAAGGCTCCCCTTCGCGCGGAGCCCCCTGCCAGGCTGCGGGCGCCCGCGCCGCCCGAGGGCTCGGCGGGCCAAGGGGGCGCAGCCGGCGGGCTCTCCGGCCCGCCGCAGCCGCGCTTCATGGGCAGCAAGAGCCTGGCGAAGCCGGAGCGGGGGGGCCGCCCGGGGCGCTCCTGCGAGCGCGAGGCAGGCCGGCACGTAACGCAGGTCGGCCCGGCCCGGCCCGGCCCGGGAGGCGATCGTGGCATGGCCGCTGCCCTGCACCGGATCCTTCCACGGGCCTGGAGGAGCCCCACCCGCGCTTGAACTCGGACGCCTTTCGGGGGCCAGCGGAGCCTGGCTGCCGGCCCCGCCCTCCTTAACTCGCCAGCCCCCCTCCTCCTCTCTGCGAAGCGCTCCAAATGGCCTTCTCTCGAGATCCCCTCGGACCTTTAGAGTGGTAATGATCTCCACTCTAAATAATTAACAAGGCACCGAAGAGCTGGGTGCAGCGGCCGAGCGAGCCCACGGGAGCACCCGTTGCGGATTATCCACAGTGCTTGGCCACCGTCTCTGCAAATCAGACTGACAGAATACGTCTCTCGCTTAGGCAGGCCCATTTATCTCCCGACGAACAGGCCAGAACTGCCGCAGGACCCAAAAAAAGCCATTAAGGGCAAAATCCTGTGTGTGTTTGGATGGGGGGAAAGGACTACGACTCCCAGCGTTCCTCATTAGCATGCCAAACATGCTTAGCATTGCATACTAAATCATATGGTGGAATTATCATCATTATTATTGTTTTACATTTCTATACCACCTGCCCATGATCAGGGTGCAGGACACAGCTTGGGTAACAACTGGAGGCATGGAGAGTTTCACCGCTTCTCCCTGTGGCCCCAGCCACGAAAGCCCAACCCCAGTTTGAGTGGCAGGACAGTGACCTGGCTCTCTGTTGCTGCAGGGCTTAGAAGGACCTGGTCGTGACCCATGAGTTCTCATGAGAACGCAGCCATGGGCTGGAAAGCCAGTATAGCCTAGTGGTTAGATAGTTGGACTGGGACTTGGGATATCCGGGCTCTGGTCCTACTTGGCCATGAAGCCCACTAGCTGACTCACTAAGACTCATCCTAACCTACCTCACAGGGCTATTGTGAAGACAGAACGGGCAGGAAGACCACCACGTAAGCCGGGTTCCTTGCAAGAAGAAAAAACATGGGATATAATTGTAAAAAACCTCCAACCATTGCTTCCTACAGCTAGAAACATGACAGCAGCCCTGGAATCCCATGCTCCTAGCTGCTACTTCACCACCCCTTTCCTCTGAAGACGCCCCGCACCCCACTCTGTATATTGTCGAAAGGAAAACTTTAAAGAATTGATTCCTTCCTATGATTATTTTCATAGCAGTCTTAATCACAAATCAACACACACAGAATGAAAACGGTGGATGATGTGTGCAAGGGAGGAACACAGGCAGATGATGCTGATGGATATAATAATGATGATGGTGATGATGATGATGATGATGATGGGAGTTGTAATTTAGCTCGATATAGTTTTCAAGAAGAAGTGCTATGGCTTGACAAGGTTCTACTATACAAATGGTATGATTTATTTCATCACAGTATGAA